TTGAGTTGAATTTCAGGACACCCAGCTGGTGCCTCAGAATTGCTTGGTGGTCTGGGGAAACCTCCACTCATAAGCTGGAATTGGATCCCAGAACCCATTTAAGAAATCAAAGTAACATAATCAGTCTTATTTCTTCTTCCAGGTAGGCCACTAGGGAGCACAAAATCAAAGGGAAATGACAGTACTGCATAGCTAACTAATTTCAAAGAGACACTACGGTATCATATAGGACCCTATAGTCTGCATATCTACACTTTCTCTCAAAGAACTGCAAAAGAAATTTCTCTATTTCTTTACATCAGGGAAGTGAAAAACCTTAAAATGGCTTCAGAGTGACTTGAGTGATAAAAATGAATGACTAAACTTATAGGAAAAAAAAAAAACAATATAAACACTAAAACTGGCCAGGTTTCCTATGTCAGCTCTGGAACGCTGAATAAACTAGCCCTTCTCAGGTTGTTTCATCCATGAAATGAAGACAACCAACCACAGAGCTGTTGCAAGGGCAGAGTAAGAGAGCACAAAGAAACTGAGACAGACAGGACAGGTCAGCACACACAGTGCCTCTGCCTAGAGCCAAAACCCTGAAATTCCCAGTGTCTCTTGCAGCTATACATGTGCACGTGATTCAGTCCTGACCACTGACCCATCGGCAGGAGTCTGTCCACCTTTCCTGTTCTGTTTCTTCCTTCTTCCTCCTGAGATCCTGGATCAAAACTGGAAGGTTCCTTGGCCATGTTCGGCTCAGGATGTTCAAGTAAGAAGACAGAAGCCTAGGAGCTTGGTGGCTCTGTGTGGCCATCATCTAGCCCTGAATCACTTGCTCACGCCCTAATTCCTTACTGTTGGACATAAACAAGCGCCTCTTTGGTGAGGACCCCGTGTCAGGTTTCTGTTACGTAGCAGCTAAACACAAGCCTGACAACGTGAGCCCAACACAGACTTGGCAAAGATCTATGCCCACCAAATAGGAGTCCCTTTCGTTTCCTTCTGGTTGAGAAGGTATATATTCGGGAAAATGATTATAATAATATTTTAAATAAAAACTCAGCTACCAAATGCTACAAATTGTATTGTGTGATCCAAATTTCATTAGGAGAAAAAAAAATGACTGTGAGGCCCAGGGATATCCAGGACCTCAGAGATTCCTATTAAGCACATTACTGTGAGGGGGGAAAAATGCATATTTTTTCATTTTACCAAAATCAATCTGACGAAAGTACTTCATCACATCCTGCTGGGTTTCCCACAGGCCGAGGGCACCGTGGGTCCAGGCCAAGAGGACCATGTCAAGGAGCTCACGGTGATCAGAGGCGCTCAAAATGAGTGTCCGCCTGGGCTGCATTCATTATGTTTGTGATTTTTTTAATATATGGCCTTGGGTGGCTATTCTGAGGCAAAATGACTAGTTGAGTTTGTGATTTATGTCACATGCCTCTTCAACACACTGTAACAGAATGGTAAGCCAACCATGTTTTTGTTACACCAAAATGAGTATTTTTCAGACTTTAGCACAGTTGCGGTTTCTAACATTCCTGCTACTCCCTCACTCCTGTCCAAGGAACTTTATGGTCTTTCTAAGCATAGATATGTTTTAGGCCAAAACAGCATTTATTCGGTAATATCAACAAACTTGCGACCACACAGGCTTCAAAGGGAGGGGCCTTGGCAAAGCAGGATGCTGCTGGTCTGAACCCGGGGAAGGGAGTATTCTCTAAGCAGGAACACTACCATCACACAGCGCCCTCCGAACACACAGACACGCAGCATATTCTAGAAAATATAAGGGTTAAAATTCAGCCCTGTAGGTCTAACACAATTCAACAAATATTTCACCAAAATACATTTACAGAGTCATTTGCAAACAGCTGCATTAAAATGTCCTGCTTAGTGCAAGGACACTGCCTTGGTTGGGGGGGACGCTGATGGGGGCCCTGGGCAAACGTGAGCACCTGCAAATTAGCATCTCTATGGAGAAGGAAGCATTGCACTAGGTCCAGACATGAAAAACGATTCTCATTCCCCAAAAGCTTACAGGCTGGTATTGAGCACTTATGGACTTTTGGAAAACAATGATATATAGGTACACAATTATGGAGTTAACTGCATATGAGGCAGAATTGAATACATTTTATAGTAAAGCTATGGGGAGTTTTAGGAGGTTCAAATAAGAATAAACTAACAGTAATTAAGGAAATTCAAGTGGCCTCCAAAAAGGAACCTCCTAGCTATATACCGCCTGATTCAGGTCGTGCTGACTTCCTACAACCCCCACGGCAGCCTGTATTGATTGCACCTTGGCGACAACAACAAAAACAGTGGATAAAAACAGGCAAGAGAATAACAATAACAATGACGGCTGACATACATATATTGAACATTTAGGGGAAATGTATAATAGACAATTAAGATATATTAAAATATATAATTAAAAGCATAATGTAAAATTATACATCTGAGTCAGAAAATGAGTGATGTGGCATTGTTTTGCTGCAGCTCAGAAAAAGGGGGCTGCTATGTTCAACTGACAACACTGAGCCCACCCACTCACGCGCTTTCTGCCGGACCAGCATACACGCTGCTTTCTTCCCACAGAGAACATGAATGAAGCACATCCGTTAACTGCCAACTTAGCTTCCTGATAACAAACTAGAAATGCTTCACTGAGAGATAACAATGGGGTGATGGCACGGGGATATAGACCATCCTTTTTGTTGATGCAAACTGATTTTCCAAGATTTCTATAAATGAATTAGTCATTGCAGAATCTCAGCTGGAAAATACACTTTTTTAAGAATCCACTCATTGAATTGATTTAGCCTTCAGTAAAGATTGTGCACACATACTATGATGTAATGACTTCTGCTTCCTAAGAAGAAAAACATTTTTCCTCTATTATTCAGGGATGGTTCCTTGGTCTAGCAACTGACATGAAGAGGCCCAGGATTCACGTGCATGCACTTTGAAAAGGAAATGTTTCCTGCCTACTGCTGCAACTGACAGATAAGCTGAGGGCTATTTGTATTTCTTTAATCATCTCTTTTCTTCAAATCTAGTTTTTAGCACAAAGTTAGGAGTCAGTTGGTATCACTGAATGCCTTCATGTATAAAAAGTCTATTTTGGATTTCTTTAAGAACGTTTCTAGTTGATGAGCCTGGCTCATCGGGAGAGAGAGGAGATTGCTTCCTTATCTCTTCTTCCCTTCAAAGCAAGTTGATGGCAGGTTTTGGACATTAAAGATGCTGTGGATTGGTTTATTCACCCTCTATTCCACCCTTTTCCTAGTTCCCTGCTGAAGCTTGTTTTAAAAACTGCTTCTCCTGAATTTCTTTGCAACTAATGTTCTATATGCAAATCAATCTTATCCATCAGAGGCACCTGAGGGAGATTTGTGATGAGGAATGAGTCGCAACCCATCTTGCTGGCCCTGTGGCTGCCAGATGCAGTTGTGGCCACTAAAAATGGCAATGGCAGCCAGGGCTTTCTAATCCCTATCCCTACACCACAGTATGGCAGCAGGTTCCTGAAATAAGTAATTCCAGAGGTCACCGCTTGACTCCCACTTCTCCATTCTTCTAATGGTTTTTTAAGTGCCTAATTCCTGATCTGATATCTTTCAACAATACCTAGGAAGATGTCTATTCCTTGCCTTAAACCCTGACTAAATCAATTATATTCTTCATTCCTCAGCCTGAAGATGCAACATAGGAATCAGGACAACATTAAAGCCTAACATTTACACGGTATTCTGTATTTGCAAAGTACACGGACATGCATTATCTAAATCAATCCTGAACACAAGCCTGTGAGGTGGTAGGACAGGTCCTGCTCTCTCTGTATAGATGAGAAAGGTGAGTCTCAGAAGTGTTAAGTGACTTAGCAAGGCATTTAGTTGGTAAGAGATGGAGACAAAATTCAATTCCACATTTTATGACTCAGTCATTTCCTTTGACACCAAGAAGCTTCCCAAGGGAAGAAGGAAGAGAAAGCACATGGATGCTGGCAAATAAATTAAACCTTCCATATCCTATGTGAAAATAAAAATGTAAAACCTTACCATTATACTCTAAAAACATTAGATGAAAACACCTGAGTATGAATTAGCAAATCCAGGCTGTTTCACAGAGAGCATGACCTTGGATGTAGTAGAACCTCAACTATACAGGATCCCTCTTTTGAAGATCCTTTGCTGTTAATACAGATGCATGAAAGGTTCAGTCCCATTTTCCAGCTCTGGATTTTTTTCCTGCCCAATCATTTGGCCAAACCAAGAGTGGCTTGAAGACTTGGGGAAGCCAAGATTCATTTCTCAGTTTCTCTCTCACAGCAATTTCAGCTAAGAAGCACACCCCTTTCCAACTCAAGTTCCCTAGAAACAAAGAGATTCCCCCCCACACCCCCCTGCTTTTAGTAAAACATTTGACTTCAATGCTCCAGAAGCCAAAGAAGAAAAACATTAAGTAAGCAAAGCTTGATTCAGAACACTTCAAAAGCGGTCGAATTCTTTCTCCCCATCTCTACCACCCTGCCACTTCATAGGAATAGTCTAACCACAGGGTTAAGATTCAAGAGCTCTAAGGAGCAAACTTAGGAGCAAACGGTCCCCACTCCCTGAGAGCAACATCAGCCCTAAGAAAACATTCCAGTATTGCAAATCTGCAAGAATATTCCACAGCCAATCTTGAAACACTGGAATTCCACAATTCCCTGGACCCTGCTCCCTTCTTGGCCAGCTTCCTTCAGTCTCATAGGACTCAAATCAGAAGGGACAGGAGAAACTGTGAGTCTATAATATCCTATTTTTGCCTTCGCATCAAAACATTATGTGATTTCGTCCCCCAAAATGACAGCTACACGGGAAACCATTTATAACTAAGAAGAGATGGGAAAAAAAAGATAAGAAGTAGCTCTGATTAGTTAGGCAAACTCAATTATCCCTTTTCTATGACATCAAGACATGTAAGAAACTATATTGAAAGACAGCACACGTTATACTAACCTGGGGGAAGAGAGAATAAGTTGTATTGTCAATGGTGAATGAGTATAATAACTCCCCATCATACCACATGCTCTTCCCCATGGGGGAATTCATTTTAGTCATAGCAAAGAGATGGGCAGGGTCGCAGCAGTCTTCCATCTGTTTCCTAGGAGAGAAAATAGGGAGAAAGAACAGCAGGTTAAGTGAGCAGCAGACTCATTCACTTGTCATTCCCACAGAGATGTGCAGCCTTACCTCAGTGCCAGCTCACAAAAGCATCTGTGTCTCCAAGGTGATTAGACTACTATTAACTCACTCTTCCAGCCATTCCAATGTATGCCTGGAATACTTCATAATTTAAAAATTCAAGAAAATTAAGTTTTCATCCGTTAATGATGTTAAAATTAAACATCAACTTTCAGATGCTGCTGAAATATGTCTGAAGGCAAAACTAATCATTATAATTGCAGATTTATTGATTGACTTAAACATCAAAGACTTGGATGGCCAACTCTGCGGACTGTTGAGCTGTTCGGCTGCAGCAGAAAGGAATCTTTATGGTGATTTACCAGTGAGGTTCCCTTTGGTGACAAGGGACTTTATGTGAGCTCTACGGAACAGGGAATACTGAGTGGCCCAGAAGAGTGGGCACACCCCAAAACTGCAGACAAGCCTAAAAAACCACCCCTGGGAAACCCTTTTAAATAGAAACCAAATGAGTTGAGTGATGTGATTTCAGACACTGGGGAAGCCAGCTGCCTTCTAAGTGGTAAATCTCCTGGGCCTTTGTGATTCTCATTTTGTCTGACCTCCCAGTAGTGTTTGACAGAGTGGGGCACCTTGACCTTTGCAAAGCTCTCCTCACCTCCTTGGTGTCTGAACAGCAGGGTCTCCTGGGCTGCCTCACTCTTCTGAGCTGGCTGGAGGTCATACACACTGCCTGCCCCTCGGATGGGTGCCCTGCTACAGGCCCATCTGTCCCTTCCTCTCTAATTGAAAACCTGTCAGAAATCAACTCACTGCGCTACTGAGCTTCCAAGAGTAAAAAGAGCTTCTTCCCACCTCTAGAAGAACCAATGAAGAAACTGCTGATGTAAACCACTTCTGAACGGCGCCCCCCGTGGACCAGCTTGCTCAGACATCCTTAACCATCCACGAAACAGAAGCTTAGAGCGGGAAAGGGAGCAGTAATGTGGGGTTCTTGGGGTTAACATTAATAAAACGTGTCAGTTCTTTTACCAGCAATATGGGTTTACTCAGGAACAAGGAACAATAGAAAATTGCACCTTAGGACAAGCCTGTCCCAAGAACAAAGCAGAAGAGGCTTTTTTATAGCTGAAAGGGAAGTTGGGCGACTGCTCTAAGCAAAAAGTCCATTGGAGGAAACGAGAAGTCCTACATGTTCTGGCTTCTCATTGGCTGGACTGTTGCCAGAAGAGACAGAAACCCTTCCCTCCTCCTACTAGGTGCTAAAGTAGCCAAAACAGTAATGGGTTGTAAGGTACCCGTCTCCTCCTCCCTGTGAGGTCTGCAATTAACCAGGAGTGGTGGGCGTGAGAGCTCTGGCTAAGCGCTCCCCCTGCAGGCCCTCCAACTCTACCTCAGTGAGGCTTCCTTCTACGGATTTTCACAGGTTCAAATCCTAGCTCCGCCACTTGCTATTATCTCAGGAGCATTACTGGGCTTCACGAGTGGCCTCAGAAACTTCTTGAGAATTCACAGAAAGTGCAGGCGGAGCATGCAGTAAAAGTTCAATACATGTCATTATTACACAATTCCCATCTCATTGGAGAGATGAAAACCCAAGTCTGTGTCTGGGGCCAACCTCCCGAGCGCAGGGCCATGGCGCTCTTCCCGCCACACCTGCTTTCCCTGGTGCAGAGCTTGGCTCCGCCTCCACAATGGTTTTGATAGAAAAGACGGGGGCTCGGGGCTCAGTAAGGAAGCCCTCATCTTATCCAAGTCGCCAGGATTTGTGTCACTTGGTGCCGTCCGTCATCCTGCCGTTCCTCACCAGATGCACGGTCCTTTCCCCCACCATCCTCATCAATTCTTACCTGTGTTCCATCGCCCAATAGGCAGCCTGAACAGAGGCAGTGAAGTATTACAGAACTGCCTACATCCTGGAATTATTATTATCACTCCCAATTCACATCTGAGGAACACGCTGAGGACCATTACAGGGCCAGCTCAGGTCACACGGGTCCAAGTCTAGGTTCCCTCCTCTGCATGCTGCCTGCGCAGAACTATTTTGACTCACTTACCCTTCTCTCTCCTGAAGGGATGCTTCGTAAACACCAGCCAAGCACCTCCAATGTGCCAGGGTCTTTTGTAAATACTGGTGCACTTCATTTTCAGAGAGAGCGACTTTGGAGCTGGACAGTTTTGAGACTCTTTTTTCAGTAACTTAGGTCATAAAACTAGTGAAGAAGTGGGGCATGGCTTTATTCACGGGTCTGTTTATCTCATGTCTGGTGTTTACTTTCAACCAGACCATAGCTCTCACCCTCAAACCAAGCTAAACTTGTCATTCAGTACTTCAGAAAAAAAACCTGTCACAGCCATATAATAACATTTCATTTTGCCTAGGATCGGGCTGCTTACACAGCACTTTCACGTTGATTTCCTCTTTTCATCCTCAAAAAAACCAGGAAGTTAAGAGTTGATGGTATAACTCTAAACTTATAATAGACAATGAAACTGAAGCCCATTCAAGTTCATTAGGTTAATAAGCGTTGGCTTAATTATTGACTAAATGTGTATCAAATGGACTCAAATTCACATCTTTCCTTATAGCATCACCATGCTCAGGGAAATCATTCCTTCCGTGGGAAAACCAACTAGTCAACAGAAAATGGAAAGTATCACATGTGCATAAATAGATATTTTTTCTCTCTCAAGAGTTAGAGCGCATTCATAATCATCATCTTGCCATTTGCAACATGAGAGTGGTCTTCCTGTCATATACTTTCCAGCTTTTCCCTTCAGCCAGAATGGCCCCCATCTTCCGTCTCCCATGCCCATCTCTGGAAAGCGGCAAAAAACAAATCACAACAGGGAAGTGTGTACCTTCCCCGTGCCTGAGAGGGGCCCATTCCTTACCACACTGGCTGTAGCACAGCACTAAAAATGGTAGCAGGAATAGTAATACCAGCAGTAGTGACGGTCATCATCAGAGAAGCAGTCTTAGTGATATTTAGTGAGTTCTTGCCTAATAGTGTGCTAGGTTCTTGGGATATAAAACTGAATATAAAAAGCAGTCCTGTCCTCAGGAAGCATGCTCAAAGAGGGGGTAAGGGCCAAACAAGTGGCTACCTAAGTGTGCAGGAAGAGGTGGCCAGCACCCCGAGATGTGCACAGGTGGCTGGGGTTGCTTAGAAAGAAGAAGGCAGGGAATCACACTCAGGGTTCCAGGAAAATTCCTGCCTTGAAATTTGCACCCTTAGAGAAACTGGCAGGAAAAAGAAGGCAAGTCTTTCAGGCAGGAGTGCCGCTACCGAGACAACCGAGACAGGAGACCACAGACTCATTTCTTCATCACAGCACCCAACACACATATTAAGTCTGTGATCTCTAAAACACTGTTGAGAGTTGAATAACGAATTTTACCTCCATCCAACCGGCAGGTGATCCTGGACAGAAGATAGATACCAGCTTTTAAAATTTTTGGCAACATTTGTTCCCATCCCCTTCCTCAAGCTTTGTATTGAGACTGTTTATTATTCACAAAGCAGAAGTAAATCCATTTTTACATTCAAGTTTAAATTTGCAGATTATTAAGTTTCAGTTGAATGGGAGTTGTGTATTGGCGTTAAAACGCAAATGCTTTTTGTTATTTGAATTCAAGCTTCAGCAGAGCTTGTATCAAGTGAGGCTATCATTGGATCATGAAAGCAAATACTTATGAAGCCTGGGAGCCACCTGGTAGAAACTCACTGGGGTTCTCATCCCCTCCTAATGAAAGCCATGGATACCACCTAAACCAAAGACAGTATACACTTATTGTGCCTATAGACCAGCAAGACTGAGGTTCCGGGGAAACTAAGGGCCAGTAAGGCTGAAAGTCCAACCACTCAGTTAATAATGCCCAGTCTCAGAATGAACCTTGCTGAGACTCCATGTGCCACGTTCAGTGCCTTAGTCACCAGACATGAAGAAGGTTGGCAGGCTGCCACTCCAGTTGACTGACATTCTTGTGCCCTTTCTGAGGAATGACTGAACTTGAGAAAGTAGAGGTGAGAGTTCTAGGGCAGCCCCCGTATTTGGCCAAAATCTGCTGTTACTTACTCTACAGCTTTAGATTCAGCTGATGGAAGGCTGAGTAGTCACACAGCCAAACATCCAATTCACTGCCATTTCTGGCACCCCCGAATGTGTATGGGACAAATGCTCGTGTGATCATGTACAGAAACGTCATATCGAAGCAGGCCATCGATATATGCAACACAAACAGTATTATTAGATAGTATTGTCACTAGAATGTCTTGTTTAGAAGTAAACTGAACTCTATGTGTTTTATACATTGAAACACAGTCAAGGGCAGTATAAATGTATCTCTAATATTACAAGAGAAAATGCTGCAATAATACATTTACTGTATAACCTATTAATTTTATATACAAAAATAATGAAGAATTATTGATTACACAGGATAATAAATTGCCAGTTAAAGAAATACTGAAAGAGAATGTGTTTGGAAGGTAACGTTAAGAAAAATACTACATCATTCTTCTGCCAACATATATTCATAAAATTTTAAATACTATAAGACAGAATAAAAAGAGCTGAGATTACATGATAATTCGAATATTTATAGAAGTATTTGATAGACTAGCATTAAAAAATATTCAACAAAATAACCTTTAAGAACTGTATTTAAATTTGTAATGTAACTCCATTTGGACAGTGAATTGTTTAGGAAAAAAATTTCTGTCTGGGAACTCTTCATAACCTTGTTATGAGGAGCTGATAGTTAAATGTCAAATGTGCCCCTAAAAAATTCCACAAGAAAGTAAAATTCGAAAAACAACAGCATGGAAATCGTTATGACCTGATCATAAGGAGAATTCCTCATGTCCCTCTTATTTGCTTGATTCCTCTCTACAACACATAGCACTATTTACAGGCTGTATGTCTAATTTATAGTTTTTCTTCTTGTCTGTTTAC